AATAATATTCTGTTTTCCTACATGTAATGTGTTTGATTTATAACAAACTTTCATTTATTAAATAAATCAAATTATTTTCTTGATTGATATTTGACAGAGATGCTTGGTCACATAGTTTTTACAGTGACATAGGAGTGCAGAATACTTGTACAGTAAAAATTTACATAATAATTCTATGTCCTTAATTAGATCGGTTTTTAGAAGTAATGAGTGACCATAAGAACCTAATCATATAAAGATGTTAAATTCATAGTCTATTGTAACCTAATGTACTGTGTCTTAAATGGGAAAAGGAATTTGTTAAAAATATTGGTAACCAAAACAATGTTAAAATTCATTCATTGTCATCAACCAGATTTACTGTATTCCAAAATCGAATTTTGTGAAAAATTAATTTTTTGTGATATGAAGTATGTACTACAGGAGAATGTTATGTGTACTATATGCACATCACAGCTTTGGGTAAGCACAAATTTGTCATACAATCAATTACAAACCACAAAAAATTTACTGAGATGATATGTAGCAATAAGAAATAAACATATGCACTGTGCCTGTTGATAAGTACTTATTTTTAATCTGCAGGTCAGCCAAAGTCACAATACCTCGTTTACCATCATCAGCCCCTCCGGCTGTACCAATTTCAAAAACAGGACCATTTAGTAATAGTATGTCTAAAACAAATCCTATGAGGTTGACTTCTGAAGAAAAGCAATCAAACAATGATATTTCTCCAAATGAAGAAAAAAATATGGAGAAGGAGCCCAAAAAGAAAGTACCATTCATACCTGTTCATGTCAGTAATGCTAGTTCTCCAGACTCTGTGTACGTTCAACTGGCAACTAAGGAAGGAGAAAGGCTAGATGGGTAGGTTATATATCTAGTTCCATTCATACCTGTTCATGTCAGTAATGCTAGTTCTCCAGACTCCGTGTACGTTCAACTGGCAACTAAGGAAGGAGAGAGGCTAGATGGGTAGGTTATATATCTCAAATAGCAAGGTTGGGAAGTCATACATTGGTTATATGAAGTATAAATAGTTATTTTGTCTTGGTTTGCCAAGTATGACTGTGTGTAGATCTTATTTTTTTTTTTTAACCATTAAAGGATTCAAAATATTTTCTTTCTTGCACTGCGTCTTCATATCAGGTTTTTGATATGGATACATAAAAAAAAATTAACAAGTAACTCGTAAAATAATTCTTGTTTTTTTTTGTATTGAAGTTGATGTAATTGGAAAGCAGTATATTTGTCAATGAATTTGGCCAGTTTTTATGAATTACACTCACTCATCAATAACCTTGAACAAAGATGAAAAGAAAAAGACTGTGTCTGTTTCTCACATTTTGTTCTAGCCAAGGTCCATAGTTTTGATGATTATATTAAACATCCATTAAATTATTTAGAAGAATGAATTATTAACATTGATTTATATCCTTTGTGTATGCATTGGTTCACTGGTTCACTTTAGTGCCGTCCATAGACCACCACTTCAAGAGAGACAGTCTGTTATTTGTTTGTTGTTCTAGAGCTATTGAAGTTCATAAGAACTGTTTTAATTCAGTGACAAATGGTGATTTGAATGGTAGGCTGCAATTTGTGTTTTTTTTCTTCTCAAAATTGGTGGTTTTGGTAATGAAAGAGAGAAGTATGTGGTCATCTAATTGTTCCTATCCAGTTCTTACATACAGATATGTCTTCAAGTAATGGATGTTGTGATACTTCTTTTGAACCACTCTGTATTGTATATTGTATAGCACTACGATGTTATCATTCCTCTTTCAACATCATTGCATTATAATGTCACAAAATGTTTAGGAACTTAATGAGCTATAAAATTATCTTTGTTCGTATGTAATACAAAATTTTGGCACTTTTGGTAGTTTGATGAACCAACTTCAGCAGATTTACAGTAAAAGTCAAGTCAGCAACACAGACTGGAAAGAAAGCACAGTATGTGCAGTGCTCAGCTCCCGAGACAAACGCTGGTACAGGGGCAGGATACTGAAAAAACTAGAAAATGGGAGCTTACAGGTATATTTTTGCGTAACGTTTTTTCCCGTGAAGTAAGTTGATAGTGTGTACCCTCCTCAAGAAATTGTTAGTTAAGGCCATTGATAAGAGTTCTGTTAAAATCAGTACATCTCACAGCCTTTGAAGAAATAAAATTGGTTTTATTATTGACAAGCTGAAATACCGTCAACTGATGGGGAACGTTTAAACTTAATTAAAATAGTACAAGTTTAACAGCAATCATACATTTCAAAGTAATAACTTGAACATAAACTTTATCTCAAAATTTTAAAATTATGACGAAGCTTCTTCATAAACAACTTTTGCAGTTTGCTTTCTATTTACCAACAAATAAAGATTTTGAAGTGACCTCACCTTTGAGAAGCCTATATCTCATTGACCGTGAGAAAAGCATAATTGTTTGAGAAACAATCCAGCAACTTTCATACTTTGACCTTGAATCCCTTTAAAATATTCAACATTATCTAAAGCGTCAACCTTCCAAGATTGTTTGAGATTGACTCAATGAGCTGGGAGTAATTAACCAACAGGCTTTACAAAATAGAAATAGGGTGCTGTTCAATTTGACCCCTTAGGACGTTCCTCATATTTCATAGTGTTTACATACATACTTTGGTTGAGATTGGCCCAACAGACTCGGAGGAGTTAGGGTACAAACAAACACACAGATATAGATATAATAACTGATCAGCTGTTAAAACTGCTTATAAAATACTTTTTGAATTTGGCCTCATGGTTAACATGCCTGGACGATAAATCAAGGATTGATGGTGCGTGTCACATTTCTACAAAATATAAGCTGCTCTAAACTTTGGGACAGTGAGTTTATCATAAGAGAGATTATCAGTTCGTCAGACAAAGAGTTGACAGTAGGTTCTGTTGACTAGCTCCCTTGCCTTCTCTATCTAATTGGCCCGGCATGACCAGGTGGTTAGGGTGCTTGACTTGCAATCTGAGGGTCGTGGGTTTGAATCCTCATCCCACCAAACATACTTGTCCTTTCAGCTGTAGGAGCATTATAATGTATGATCAATCCCATTACTCGTTAGTAAAAGAGTAGCCCAAGAGTTGGCAGTGGGTGGTAATGAATAGCTGCATTCCCTCTAGTCTTTCACTGCTAAATTAGCTTTGCGTGAAATTAAAAAAAAAAATCTCTTTAGTCTCTTAGCTCAAACTTAAAGATGGCTATGTGTAGAGGCCATTAAGTATCTTTGTATTAAAATCCTAAAAAAGAAAACTTCTTTGATTTATTGTATTTGAATCTGTTGAAGTTTTATTTCCTTAATATAGTTGTTAGAAAAACATTATATCAAGGTAAGTCCTTTTTGTCCTTAAACCATTGCTTGAAACCATAATTTTAAAATTGAAGGAACATTACAAGAGATTCAAGTGAACTTTGAAATCTCTTAACCTTCAGAAGTTGTGTTTAAAAGTATACAGATAGCTGAACACTTACATAGATGACCCAGATCCTTGTTATAGACACACCAAAAACACTAAGTACATTTTGCTTACTTCTAATCAATAATTAAAGTGTTTGTCAGTCACTACTAATTATTTGTAAAAACTGTTTTCACATTTGAAGTCTGCAATTTTAGGCCTCATTTTGAATTTGAATTATGGGGTTTCTTGACTGTTGTATTTATCTTATAACTCAAAGATGCTAAATTTTTGACTTGCTATCTTCTATAATGTTTATTTTTTGGATCTTTAGTTCTCCAACTTAGGACCTAGCATTCATGTAAAGTTTAACAGTGTTTTGTAATTACATTTTTTTTGTTGCATATTCATCATTTATACTTTTCTATTATGTATGTATGTCTCTTTTTATATGTACCCTTTAATTTACCCTACGTTACAAAAAGAATGAGGTGGCTAATTTATTTCAGTAAGAAATTACTGTTTACAAAAAAGAAAAATGCTCATAATCATTTTTACCTAATTAAATTTAAACTTGAGTTGTTCCTTTTAGAAATTGTATGATATGAAGAACACATTTAGAGTGTAGTAAAGGAGGATTATTGTAGGATATGAATAACACATTTAGAGTGTAGTAAAGGAGGATTATTGTAGGATATGAATAACACATTTAGAGTGTAGTGAAGGAGGTT